TCCACTCGATTTAACGTAGGTTCTTCTGCGACTGATGGCACCAACGCCGTGACTAGGAAGACAGAGGCCAATAGTATTATGTAATAGTGATCCGGACCAAAATGCCAACGTAGTGCAAGGAGGCTTATAAGGATATTATAATACTATTATAGTCTTCGATCAAAGGCCGTGGCCAATAAAGCAGAAGGGCAGACGACGTGGATAATGTATTATATTTTAATCCGCGCGGTAGTAAAAAGTGTGTTCAAATCTTACCAAAACAATTATCATCTTTTTTAACATAAGTAATACAGAAAAACAACGGATGTTGAATAAAAATGTGGTTACAAAAAATCACGGAATATACGTCACCATATAACACATAGAAATTTATATTTCATTATCTTTTGCAATTAATCGTGACTTTCATAACATCATTCTTAATTATTATTGCACGAATGTTTATATTAATATCCGGTTGTCACTCGATATACTATTGCATAAATCTACATGTATTAATTTGAGTGCATTAAAGGGCTTTTTATTTGTTTTTTCTAAATTGTTGGTTTACTTTGAAGGTTGATATTCATTAAACAATTACTATTATTATCATGTTCGAACCCTTTTACCAGGTGTTTCTGTTCTCTCTTTTTTCCTTCTAAACAAATTAATAGAACTATGACCCATGACTCAGCCTATAGACTAAGAAACAACGCATACAAACTACTTACCGTAAAACACTAAAAACAAATGCGTTGTAAGTTTTTCACAGTACGGTATAGTTTATTGTGGAACAGGTTGCCAATACCTATCTGTAACTGTGACACTTTTACCAGATTCGAAAGGCTAGTAACCATATTTCTAGACTCTAAAGAGCTTCAATCTCTCCTTGAACTCCCGCCCACCAATGAAGCACTTTATTATGCACCGCCTAATATCTAGACGGAACAAGAATATAACGAGCCACATTGTTATTAAGAGGAATATAAATCAACTACAGAACATATGTTTACACTTTCCTATTATTCATTGTTTATTAATCATGGTCTTATGCTCGTAATGCTCACTTTCATTTCCAAAATCTCTCTACTGGTTAAATATATATATTATTCTTCCTAAGTGTCATGTTTTTTGTTTTCTATTGCAATTATCAGATAACTCAGTAATTTTATGGATGCTGATCTACTAGTGCCGATCATACGAAGCTCAAAATTGATCACAAAGTCTTGTGAGTTGTTTAATGTTTTATTTTTCTTACCCTTAAAATTTTACAATTTTATACTCTTTCATATCCTTCGATTTGCTATTAATCCTTATTATCTTTAAACCACATATAATCTAACCTGTTTTTCGTTTTAACTTTCAGCATTAGTTATCTTCATAGCAGTGTGATATACTAAATGGACATCTTACCCATATTACAAATGCTTTAACTATTTCATTTGCTTGTAACATGGAACTAGTAGAGACAGCGTAACGGAAAGAGAACAATAAAAATCCCTCCACAGTCTTTTTGTTGGACAGTATTTTAATTTATTTGTTTCTTCTTCCTGTCATATATTTTAACCTTTGTTCACATCTCGTTTGAGCTTTTATTATGTGATTTTCATTAAAAACTTATCTTTTTGTTACCTAATTTTTTATTGCATGTTGCCGGACTACCGACAGTGAGGTCGTAATTGACTAAGCTCAAGGTCACGGCGTGATTCAGTGTGACTGTTAACTTTTTGACTGCTACTTGGGAGGATTTCTGGAATCTCTGCAGATAGATATTTGATCCCGTTTGTTAAGAATATTTTTATTGATTCTCAGGTATCAAATCCTTTGGTAGTGACTGTTTCTTTTATTGTTTAGCGCGCTACCTTGCGTTAGAGAAACTTCTGACTGTATAGCACAGGCTGTACCGTTCGAGGTACTTTGTATTTTTGATATAATTTGTTCTATTTCTTAAATTAGAACCGTATAAATTGAGCTCGATTCGAAATTACTGAAGTTTATCATTATGATTCCGATGAGCTTTCTAGCTTTGGATACTTGAGATGCAATGTGCTCAGAAAAATTCAAACTGTTGCTATATCTTAAACTCGAGTCACAAAAAGTATTGAGGGGTTTCAGTGTATGTTTGTGTATAGTCAGATTTAAGTTAAAGCAGCGGCCGATGTGAATAAATCCACTTTTGTCAACATTAAGTGGCAAATTCCACGAAACAGTCCATTCGTATAACCTGTTTCTTTCTTCTTGGATTACGGCTGAAATATAGCTTTCTTTAGTGGGAGAAGAGAATGAATAAACTACTTTTAGGTCATCAGCAAAAAGAAAGGTTCACCATACTGAAAGATGGAACATACGTCATTGATAAAGAGGAGAAAAAGTAATGGATCAATCATACTTCCTTGAATAACCCCCCTGGTTACATTCACAGGTGGAGAGTAGCAAGATCCAAAGCAAACGATTCGGCTACGTTCTTCTAAAAAAGATTTCAGCCAACATAGAAGGAGATTCTGTATGCCAAATGAAGAGAGTTTTAAAAAAAACATGTTTGTGTGAGACACTGTCGAGAGCCTCACTAAAATCGAAGTAAAGAATTATCACTGACTGACCAACATCTCTTCTCTGGGTAATTTGATCAAAAAATTCCAGGTGCGATGTGAAACATGAGAGTTTATTCATAAACCCATGTTGGGACGAGCTAATCAGACTAGCCGAAAGTAAAAATGATAATAGCTGTTTGTGGATGATTTTTTCCATGGTTCTTGATAGCACGGATGTTAAATTAATTGGCCTATAGTTAACAATATAACTAAGTGATCCTGTTTTGAATCTAGGGGTGATAAGAGATGTTTTCCATACAAGTGGATAGGTCCCATATTCCATGGATAGGTTGAAAAGTTTCGAACAAAATAGCAGGGTGACCTCAGAGATATTTTGAGGAATTAAATGTTATGTCAACTTTTATTGGACCAAGAATATATCAACTCCAAAAATAATGATAAAGTTATTACGAAAGAAAACTAATATATCAATACATTAGATGTAATCTACATACACAAGAAAAATATACAGGACGTTCCTTAAATGGTCAGAAGTTGGCGTGGTCGAGTTCCTTTTGGTCTTGTAATCCACAATTATTAGTATTTAATAATTCTAATCACAATTTTTATAGTTCAAGTTGTATATCAAAATAACGCATGTAATGAGGATATCACTGTGATCTCTAAACATATATAGCAGATACATTAGGTTTCTGTTATTATAACAGTGGGTAATTGAGAACAAAAGGCATATGAGTGTAACAGTGTATTTGTGAGCTATACTCAGTGTGTCATGCTATGAGGTATTTGAGAAGGGTACGGAAAAGCAGAGGTCATGCGTTTCTAAACAACGTTTTTACGGTCATTCGTAGTAAGTGTTTCAATCATGACAACTAATGAAAGAAATGAAAATGTTGGCAAAAAAATTACGAAATAAGTCTATCATAACTAGCTCCACAAAATTCTTATCATGCTCAAAACAAATTTTAGGCTCTGAGTTTTCACTCTCTTTAACTCTACGAAAGATAAATGATCGATTTTTAGTTTCTCAGCTACTTTTAAAGGGTTAGTTTTTCTCTAGTATTATGTCATTCCTTATTCTCGACCTGTACCCATTCATCAACTTCCATTGGATTAGTTACCACAGTCGTGTGAAACACAGTTTGAGGTCCAAGATGATTGTTGATGACGTGGATAGTCAGCTTGTTTCTTTCCTGACAGAAATATATCCAGCCTTACGGTTTGGTTTTTTAGGCGTTTCCTGCTGGCTGCCATTCGGAAGACAGGAGACGGAAGAAACTTCCTTTCTTGGGGCTCTATTTCGGATAGACCTCTTTGAAGTCGATCTTTCATTTTCTGATCCACATAGGTCAATCAATGCTGAATTTGTTTGAGGTGGCTTCACATCAATCGACCCAGCGAGTACTATCTGATGTGTCTCGACTATGTTTGCTAACAATCAATTTAGCAATATTTACCATTGAGATGGCTTCGGTTAGCAAGCTGTCCGAGCAGCACTACTTACGAAATCACACGCAACCACTTTTAGTAAACCGTTTAAAGGATTCGGGCGTTAGATTTATGCAAACTTCGTGGTACCATCCTTCGCACTCGTCGCACTGCATGCCGCCCTTGATGGTGTATCGATAGCTTTTATTGAACTCTTCAGTCACTAATCAGAGGCTTTCAAAAAGGAAATAGATACAACAATACTCAAAAACAATAGAAAATTGTGACCAATAAAAGTGAAAAGCTGTAAATTGTTAGAACCAAAAGTTCTAACAAATACAAGAGAAGAAATGTGCTCAAAAATACCGAGGATAAAATATTTTGGAAACAAACACGATACTCTTATCGGATACTTTAACTGAAATAAATTCAGATACGCATTAAACGATTAAAACAATAAAACTAACTCAGCGAGATCAAAACACCACTTGTAACTCGTGTATTCAGCAGTCACTGGAGCGAGCGGGAAGATCTAAATCCACAAACACACAATGTTAACTGAGCACTTCACAACACAGAGAGAACACGGAATGGAACCACCAGTGATTTATTTTTGAAATCAAAATCCGCGGGAAATGTACAAAAGGGGGGGCTAGTTTACAAAACAGTCTTATGCGTCATCCTGCAGGCTCAGTGCATGCAAAGCTTGTTCTTCCTCTGCTAAAGCATTTACTCTCGATCGTCCTGCAATAGAAGGAAAAGCAGAACCTATTAACACAATATACAAGATGATTTTGACGCTGTTACACACTGTCCTTTTAAATAGGGCGCATCCGAGATATTTGACTTGCAGGACTATTAAATCTGCATACATAGGAATTTTGGTAATTATTGCGTATTTTGAGGTGTTATAAGTAGTTCTAAGATTATTATATGTTTGGTTAGTCCTATAAAGATTACATCTAAAGCTAATCATTATTGAGAAATGGTGAAGTTCGAACGGGTTAGGCGCACGTGTTGAATGCTGCGCAACTTTTTGACATGCAAAGCCCTATTGGGCAGTATGCTGCTCCGTCCTGTGATGTTGTGGCCCAATCTGGTATGTTGTAAAAGTGATAACTTACCGTCGTGTTTATTTCCACGATAGGCCGACTCAAATGGTACTGCAACGAAATTCTCAGAAGAATCGAAGGTTCAGGACGTAAGTGCACATTACTATTGTGACATCGTTTTACAGCTATTTCAGTAATAGAGTTCAACAAAGAAGGCACACATCTGGCTTATGGAAATGCTGATGGGATTGTTAGTGTCATTGAAATTGGCCAAGCGGTTTGTAGACCTAGATTTTGATGATAATGCTAGAATTAGGATCTCTCTGAAATAACACACCATTGTCATTCCTGTTCGAAACCCTACCAAGTCTTCCTAAGCCACGAACCAGAGTTTGATTGTCTGAAGTCCCAAGCAATAGAGGAGAAAATCAATCTTATACGCTGGCTCCCGAAATCCGGGCTTTCCCACTTCTTGTTATCTTCCAATGGTAAGCTTAAGCTTTCTAATATTACTATGGAAAGAGTTGTTCGGAGATATCAGTTTATTTTTTCCAGTTTGCAGTTATTAAATAAAATATCTTGACAAATCACCCACTCTGAGTTACCTTAATCCTTTCTGATGTTCTTAACAATTGTTTTTCTAAGCTTTAGAGTTATTTTTGATATTCATAATAAAGCTTTCACACGATCAGTCATGTTATGACTGCGTTGCAAGACAACTTGGTTGAGGTCAGGAATCCTTCAAACTGATTATGCAATTCAGGTTTACAAATTAAACAGTATTCTATCGTTTAGCTGTATGTAACGAACTATCGTTCGTTGGTAATCCTTAATTAGAGTATTGAATTATGGGGGAATCAGTGCTTCCAAATATAAAGATCTAGAAAGTGGACTAACTGGTATCCAAGGGATTCCGTCACCCTCAAACTCAAAGCCGTATTTACCAGTATGACAAGTAAATACTTATGCTTTTCAAACTAAAGTCTGGCAACTAGCAAATCAAAAAGGGTAATGGACAATTTTGTACACTACAGTCAATATCAGTGGTAATTCTAATTTTGCGTTATTTAGGGTTCCCATTCTAATATCCTTTGTTTCCGTGTTCGATTTTGTCAAGAATAACGGATAGAAATCAGTAACCCTGTACATGGTCCTGTCCATCCAGTCAATAGTCGATGCATCAATACCTCCGCTGACCTTAAACACAGTGAATGGAAAGTAAAACTTAGAAATATTCGTCAGTGACCCCAAAAACCATGAATATTAGAAGATAACATAAACGAAAGGATTGGGTTAGCTTCGTAGTTGTTCGTTTTTGATAATAAGATTGTACAGATTTATTAAGCGAAAAATTTTGACCTTGGTGTTCAGTAACATAAGTTTTGCGAGATACACTTGACCAGTTGGTGAAGTACCCATGTCCTATCTTACAAGTCATCAAAGTATTTTTGTGAGATCAATAGGAACACTTGGGTCTTAAATAATTTGTGAGGATCTTGTTGATATCTGTGCATAAGTTTTTCTCTTCTCCAGATGAACTTACTTTGGACTAGCTGTTGTGTCTATTGTTAGCTTTTGATTACGTGGAAGTTTCACGTTGATAATTAGGTTTTCGTGAGGAATGTTCTCTCCACCATTCCTTATTAATCCAGACTGTCGGTCACAGCTGAAAAACAGTAATGATTCTCGTCTTTAACATCTATCTGATGTTTCAACCATGAGTTATACTATTATATCTAGCAATGGAATCTAAAAACCTTTTTGGAATTGGTCAGCTTTATGTATTGCAGTGCATCTGTTTACATTAACACAAACCCCGTTAAGATCCTGAAGTTTGCTGATGGAGAAACAAAGCCTTATAACGTGATTCATGATATTTAGCTCATATATATTGGTTTCAGGTACATCCATCTGACGAATCCCAAATAGGGAGAAATGCGCATCCTCGATTCCAATGCTAGCCACCATACACCTCTGCTTAAAAATAAGTTATATTTGATTCATACAAGAAACTGTTAGTTTTAACCACGACTTATACCTAATTTTTTTATTTATTTGCCTTTTTGAAATAATCAACTCAGTAAATAAAAGTTTAATACTAATGCATATTGGCTGTGTAAATTTATATTTATATGTATTTATATTCAAATATGAAGATTTTCGGTCAGATGTTTAAAGTTTTCTAATACACACAGCATATATGGTACATGCCATCAGATTGATCAGTCCCACTATTGGTATTATTTTTACAGAACGTACCATAAAACTTTGGCAGTTGACGGAACTGCCGACACAGTCGTTTACAAATCTGAATTTCCCTGTTGAATCCGGTTGCCGACGTAAAGTTGTTATCAGGTCATTATCCGATATCAAAGTCCCTGTCTGTTTGAAGAATTATGGAAATACAAATATACGTGTACAGAATAAAAAAGTATTTGCTCGTGCCCACGGTTTTTCAATAGTCGGTTTGTCACCCTCTGCTGACCGTGAAACTTTCTTCTCTGCTGATCCACTGAGGATTAATATGTGGAACTTAGAAGTTACTAATGAGGTGTTCAGTATCCTTTTACCAATGACTTATTTAATCTTTGTTAACCAATTACATTTTATCAACTATCACCAATTTAGTTGGTATTAATCGCTTTTATCTCGAGTCGAATCTACTTTTTCAAAGTTTATCTCGTCAAAATAGATTTATATCCATAAAATTCAGAATATAAAAGTTGTTTGTCACGATTTGTACAGACGATCAAACATTTATTACACAGTTCAATGTTAATGTCATGCTTCAGATTGGAATCGCTGACATATTCTGAGTCCCACTTCGTAATATTGAAGTCTCTCCGTTTCGATTCGATCCTATCTGGGTAGCTGCGTAAGTGCTGGTGGTGACCTGAATGATGAAATCAATTCGTAATGTAATTCTGGCTGTGAAAGGTCGGGTATACAACGTATTAGTTAGATCAGTTTTGTTCTATGCTTGTAAAACCTGAACCCTTCGGATTGAGAATGTTAACCGACTGACCATCGTTTTCTCCGAGGGGTTGCTAGCCTTCAACGGCAACACCATCTTAGTAATGAAATGGTTCGACAACGTGTGTTCACGGCAGCGACGGTAATTCCATTGATGTCACCATCTTGGACATGTAGTCTCAACGAACTCCATATCGTTCATTATTTGCGGATGCTTGAACTAGTTCGAAAAATTTGAGAAGTGGTCAGTGTATTATATGGTGTCATAGGACGAAAGAAAGCTGAAGAGGGATGGCATCTGTACGACCTTTACAACTCGCCGGTTGGGTTCCTAAAGATAGTGTAACATAGAGGCTTGAAACGTAATCAGAAATGGCTTAAAATAGAAGCTAGTGACGATCCTGATGTATTTTTCGCTTACTTTATTCGTAAAAGTGGAAGTGACTTTTTAACTGGAAAAATTCTTTATGATTGTATTTTTTCTAACTGGACTGCTTCTACTATTATTATTACTGCTCTCATTCTCGTACACTAATTTCTATAGATTGTTGTTCATTTGTATTACACTCACTTTACTTTTTATACCTCTTGTGCGGCCCATATATCTTTGGCGTCCCCATGCACCAATGTTTATGTATTCAAATAAATAAATAATCTACAACAAACTTATAGAAGGCATTAACTTTAGAGAAGCTCTTACTTGAAAATCGATTCATTATGGACCTGTATACAGCTATAATGTGATGAACAGAAATTCTTTGAATTGAGAATTAAGATGATTTTCAGTGTTGGATATTATTTCAAAAGTTTATTAATTTTCTGGATATAGCTTTTCAATGTATGTGTTAAAGACCTTTGAATTGGAAATTAAATAATCATGATTATTTAAAAACGTGTTTAGACTGTCGTCTATTATTCATTGTAATTACCTGACTTGAAACAACTCCAATGTGTTTTTAAAGTAAAATATTTTAGGAAACAGCAGTTGTTTTGTCAACACACTTTGGATTTTTGCAATAGTATTTTAGAAATAATTTTAAATAGTCTGTTTTCAAAGGGTCAACTGTTGTGAATTAATGTATTTTCTTAAGGATTCCAACCATTGTTATAAAATACTAATACACTAAATGTGAAACATCTGTCAAATAACGATTTTATCAACTAACTGGGATGGTTTGAAGTACTGAAAGGAGCATTCGAATATGTATAATCCTGTTTTAATCATATTTTTCTACGTGATTTTTCTGACATGCATTATATTTCTCTTAACTCAAACTCCTTGACACTGCTAATTTAAAGGTGTCATTGATCATATGCTTGATCGGTTGGACGATCGCTCACATCTGATCACTGGAATTAGTTGTAGCAATTCTTCTCCATCATTATTTGCATATGGCACTAACAGAGGTTCCATTTTTCTTTGTGATACACGGTCAAGCTCTCTTTGTGACCACGCTTCTCTTGGTAAGCATATCATTATTTTCTTATCCACTGGTTTTAAATTATACTACCAAATCACACAAAAAACTGGCGCATGTCTTTTGGTGCCCTTTTTCACCAGTGTTTATGCGTTGGAACAAATAAATAAGTGACCGATCACTAGTAACCCACGAATATCCTGGATTTTTAATGACTATGTTTTACACCCATAAAGTAGGACAAAGCGAACTACTGCACAGTAAGCTCCCCTTTTATTTGGCAGAATGATCTCTTACCTACACCACAAGTGGTGCAATTTGGCAAAAGCCAATCGAGTCTTCTGAACGCGTGCTGAGATTTCGTCAAGCATCAAACCACCAAGACTCCCAATATATATGAAGCGATTGATGCTCGCAACTATTTCACTCCGTTACAAATTCAGGCGATGATGTAAGCCAATCCTGAAACAACATTTTGTATTTGATGGAAGAGAACCACATCCGAAACATTTTTGGATTGTTGCTTAAGGTGGTTATAAGACTGGATTTCGCCAGCGTCTTAATAAAACAGAACTATATGATCTACGTATTCTAGGTCAACAAGTGAATCTCCTAGTAGAAGATCAATCTCTGAAAAGTCGGATGTCCAAAGTGTTATATCTGAAAGCATGCCTATGACAAAGCTAAATAAAAAATAAGGGAAGGGGACAACTTTGAAGAACATAAAGTCATTAATTCCTATTACAGTTTGCCATGGGCTCGAGTAGAGAGCCTGTACAAAGTTAACGTACTTCTCTGGTATGCCTTCCAGTGACAGACATTGCCACAAAACCTGTCTATATACAGAACCAAATGGCGGCTTAAGGTCGACAAATGCAACTACGGTTGAGAGTCGGTAGGTATGCTGCCAGTGTTTCAGAACCTGACTGAAGGCAAATACTGTGTCACCAGACCTCACTTAGGTAGCTCGACACCAAGTACTGGAGTCTATACTCGATTAACGTTTTTCATGACTACTTTTTATCTATTTTTTTTCACACTCAGGTGTTTTTTTTTTCTAAAGCTTTTCATAGTCTTGCTGCAGATGAATCAGATGTGCTTACAATTCTCACTAATTCAATATCCGATTTGAAATTTGGCCAATGCTCCGATTACATTATATTTTCCCGTGATTATTTGAGCGTTAAAAGTAAACACTCATTTTGGATTTGCTTTTTAAAAGTTTGTATAACTCCTAAACTATCATTTGGTTTTAAAGATATGGAGGATTTCCGGAGATTGTTCAGTTTGGAAGTTGTTTCTCATCACAAACTGATATCGACCTAAGAACTGTTGAAAAGCAGTAATCTAAGCAAGTGGCTAGAGATAGTTGGAGGAAACTTCTGCTTAATCTAGGTTTCCTGCCAGTTAAAACTTGTCAACAAAGCATACCTACACCCTTTCAAGGACTTTCCATGTGATTTGAAACCACTCCACTCAACTTCACAGTTTAAGACATTATCGTTGAGCTGTTTGGGCCGCCACTTTTCTGTAAGAGTGAGACATTTACAATTGATTGATCACTAAGTATTGGTCGCTTTTATGTTTGTCTAGTTCCTTGATGCGGCCCAAATTTTATCGGTCGAGTTGAAATTTAGCCAGCGGAGTAAGTGGATTTGACTTTGAGTGTACTATGTTGAGATATCATATGGTTGAAATGATTTGGACTAGTGGCTTAATCGACAGAACTGAACCAGCCCCAAATGAGTAGGTAAACGTAATGCTAATCACTCAATGGTTAATTGGTTATAGAACCAGGAGGTGTCGGAGTGCTGTGTCATTCTAGTTTTAACTTTTCCTCTCAGCAGTACATGTCTTTATGACACAATGTGGAGTCGAATCTATGACTTTCAGGTCTTGATAAGAGTACAATATCTTTAAATCACCCAGTTGTAACCCAATGACAGATCTTTTAACCTATAATAAATGCACAACATTTCTGCACTATAATTGAATGCCGTCGATAAAATATGTGTCTCACTCACTGGCTAGTGTCTCACTTCAATTTTGTAAATTGTTCTTATGGCTTGCAACTCACTAACGAAAAAGACAATTATGTTTAGCTACATGGTTTTCAAGTTTCCTTCGTTCAGTTCGAAATCAATTCTTATTACTACTAAGTGACATTAAGTGGGGAACTTTTCAACGTGTCTAAAACAGCTGAACACATTTTCGCCTTACTTTCGGTCGGTCGTATATATATTTTGTATGTTTTTTTTTAAAAATTTATCCCCATACTCATGGTGTAGCTTGGGATTCACGAATACCAACTCAACCAGTTGAAGTTTATCCTGTCCAACGTCATCTAAAAAGGCATTTAACAGTTTTATACGAAAGTGAATTACTTTTTGATGATTTCAAATTAACTATATCTTCAAATGATCGGTATGTGAGTGGTTTGTTAGTTTAATTTTTGGTGGTTTTTTTTTAAAAGAGTAAACACATTCCTGTCCAAAAATAGTCTTAATAAATTAACAGCTTCGTCAAATGACGATCTCAAGTGCTATTAGAAGTGTAATAGCAGTTGTAACTTCTGGGTTACCTACACTATAGAAAGTTATTTCTTCTTGACGGATCTCGAACCGCGACCGCAGAGCCCATGGAAAAACTTCCTGAGTCCGGTCAAACATGCTTTTATAGGGTGCTTTCAATGTGTTAGCTTCGCACATTAAAAAGCCCTACCGCCGAAGATGAAAATCCTTGGAGTAAATATGTGAGTTTTTTTTGTTGGAGGGTGGCATCGCCTCATATGTAAACTCGATCGGCACATCAAAGTGGCAGCTACGATCGAAAAATTAACAGTTTAGAATATGCATATATATATATATATATATATATATATATGTACGTACATAAGTTCGAGTTGCCATACCACATTAGCACAGAGATGCAATTGTCAGCTCAAATCCCGTAGTGGTAGAGGTAGTAAGAATATAAACAGTAATCGGAAACATTAGCATTTGAAGATGTTATTAAGGGAGTAATTCCAGTATATCCGTGCCGTTTGTGTTTTGGGGGGTGACTCCCGAGTTTAAATAAAAAAAATATTGGTCCATAACTTCTTCATAAATAACATGACCGACATTTGAGAAGGTGCTTTTAGAAAAAGTATAATTATAAACTACACTAAATATACCTGAACAACACTTTTTTCTCAACCGGTACAAACATTTGGTGAAACCAAATTATTATAATACGAAGAATATTTCTATCAGTCAAGGGACAATATACCTACCCAGAGTAAAAGATAGGTTAATTAACTTTACTCCAAGGGTAAATAATCAACTATAAAGTAAATAATTATTCAGTTAACTAGTGGCTATCAATAGAAAACTTTCCTAAAAAGTAGAGGGTGCGCTTCAGTTTCATTAATAGAAAACGACAGCAATAAGTTCGTATATCCATAATCGAAGTACAGTAATCTAAAATGGTAACCACCGAAAGACGATATTAAGTAAGATGAAAATGAAACAGTTATTATAAGACTCTATGACAATGTCAAAATTCTCTATTCACTATAATAATGTGATAATGGTAAATAATTCAACGAATATAGATGTAATAGAAAAAGGATTATATGGAAAGGGAAACAAAGAAATGTTGTTGTTTAAAGTGCATGTATTGTTGATATTTATTGTTCATAAAACTATTTATTTATACGCGCCCCCAAATGCCCTGGTACGGCCGAGAGTGGGGAGAGTCCGTTCTCCCTCTCCAAATAATCTCACGTGGCCATGCGTATATAGCCTCTGACAGAGAAGTCCTACTCACTGCCTTCTCGTGGCGGGGGTGTTGTTGTTTACGAAAATGAGAGGACGAAAAGCGAATTTCCGGCGCTTTAACCGGATCCCAAATCAATGGTGCACATGGGCTCCAGTATCCTAAAGGATCAAATGGCGTATGAACCAATCGTTGGTCACCGGTTACCATGGGACTGCATCTCCTTACGACGGTTCACTGCCTTGCGGATCAGATCTTCAGGTCAAAGGCTCGGGGTGTGGCCCCCTAAGAAAACCACCTGCTTCGGTTTGGGCACCCGAGCAGTATCACAGCCCTCACACAAATCAATTGAGATTCGTGTGGCGCATATGTACTTGGTGCCTCCTTGTACCAATATCTATGTGTTAAAATAAATAATAATAAATAATAAAATTATTTATACGCAAAGATAGGTAGTGGCTAGTAGTGGAATCCAGGAAGCGCATTTCGTCCTATTTTTGGGACTCAGTAGCTAAGTGGATAACGCGATGGCGTTTGAAGCGAACGATACTAGGTTCAAGTCCCAGAGGGAATATCAACTCTGAGATGCAGGTACATCCAGCTGACAAGTCCCAAATAGGATGAAACACGCGTCAAACTGGATTCTACTTCTAGCCACTATCCACCTTTGCTTATAATGCTTGTAAATTAAGGCAATATCGAGGCAATATGCACAGTATGTATATATGCCAATAAGAGACTGGTCAATTACAGTGCTAAATATCAATGATAAGATTCAAGTAAAACAATATCAAGTGAATTATTTATTTATACGTTTTTTCCAAGTTTCCTTTTAACAGTAAAACAATTTTTCTTTTTTCCCCAGTTGTATAATGACTGGATCATATAATAATACTGTGAAAGTATTTGATCGACAAAATCCAATTGAAGGTTCTTATAAACTTATTATGCAAGATGAAGATATGAATGCATTTCATGATGCATTTCGTACAACTGATGATAATACTTCTGTATTTGTTTCACCTATATCATCATCAACATCATCACCTGACGGTACTGAATTAACATGGCCACGAAGGATACATGATGATTTGGTTGATATCACTGAAAACTTTACCAGATCATCATTTCCAGATAATAATAATAATAATATTAATGATAATACTAGTACTAATAATCCCAATGTTAATGAATCCATATTCACTGTGGATTTTGGACGTAAATGGTTGCAAGTTAGTTGGAAACCTTGGTCTACTGTAGCTGCTGTCAGTCATACAGATGGTATCCACCTTATTGAAGCAATAAATTAACAGAATAAGTGCAATTTTTATACGATTTCTATATTTCTATATATATATGTATATATACATACGTCTTCTTTTTTTTTTCCAGAAAAATACATTCCTTGTTGTGTTATTTTTGTCGACTTTGTTGTCTTTGATCCTTTATTTTTTAGGAAAAAAAATATTTTTACAAGTAATATTATTGGCCTTAAAATGATGAACATTTTCCAACTGATAAGTTTGTTTTATTTCTCCCTGTCTTGAACTATTTTTATTTCATCAGATAGTCACAATTTTAATAACACTCAATGCTTTTTCCTTTTCCTCATTTATTCACTCTTTCATACTACTAGTACTAATAGTTTTACTACAACTGTTGTTGTTTGTTACTTATCTTTAAAAAAAAGAAAGAAAAAGCCATACTCTTCTGTTTTTAAACAGACTATTAATCAGTAAATTGTTGTATTCATCCTTCCTTCTTTCCTTCCGACTATTACTACCACCACCACCACCACAACAACAACAACAACGGTGTACTTCATTTTGTCTGTTTTGTTTGCTGTCGGTCTACCATGTTCATCCTTCCTACCTTCCTTCCGACCACCATCACAACAACAACGGTGTACTTCATTTTGTCTGTCTTGTTTGCTGTCGGTCTACCGTGTAGTCATTGCATACCATATACTAGGGAAAATAGACACACACACGCGTGCGCGCGCTTTGAAAAATCAACAGTTAGCTTATTTTTCTTTCCTATTCTCTTCACTACTACTGATATTTTGTGCCAAACACATCTTTTCAATGTTTATGTTATCGCTATTATTATTACTACTCATAATGATAGTAACAATTATTAATATTTTCGTTGCCTAGATTTCAATTTATATGTATAACATATATTTATGCGCATGTATTTTATGTATACTTTTCCCATAGTATGGTATTATTATTCTCATTCAAAATATGTAAACAACGAAACAAATTAATAATTTCAAGTGGAATGAATACATAATGTATCAGAAAGTGTCTGTGTATGTGACAGAGAGACAGACAGAGAGAGAGAGAGAGAGAGAGAGCGAACAAGACACATACATTCATATAACCGATCATACATACTTCCTTGTTAAACCTATCTCGCTCATTCACCCTATTTTGCTTTCTCACTTCACTTGATGCATTATTTATCATGAGTACAATTATTGTTTTACTACTTTATTGACATATTATAATGAGTATGATTATTATTATTATTATTTATTTATTTATTTATTTATTCTAAATGTTACTAAAATAGATTATGTTTCGTAATTTCTAGGATAACTTTTCTTAATTTATTTAATACTATTATTATGAACAGAATTTGAGAGAAAAAAACTAATTATTTAAAACAAAAAATAGACTTTTATTTTTATGTTATTTGTAATTATGAGTTGTTTCGTACTTATTTACATCTGTTATTCCTCGTAGAGGAGCATAGACCACCTACCATCACTCTCCATTTAACCCTGTCCTAAGCGATTCTTTCCAACTCTTTCCATTTGTTATTCATCCTTTTCATATCTGATTCTATTTCCCGATGTAATGTGTTGTTTGGCCTTCCTCTTTTCTGCTTCCCTTCAGGATTCTATGTTGGGGCTTGCCTCGTGATGCAGTTTTGTGATTTTCTCATTGTCCCATCGATTTCCATCGTCTTTTCGTAATTTCCTCTTTAGTTGGAAGCTGGTTTGTTCTCTCCTAGGGAAGGCTGTTACTGATGGTATCCGGCAAATGGATGTTCAGTATCTTGCCTGTAGCTCTTCCAGAGTTACTGCTGGTCCCAAGCCCGGGCAAAGGAAGAGGGTTAGGCATGGGGTTAGCGACCCCATCCCGTAGAAAACTAACTCATTAAAAAGACGCCAACCAGAAAAATAATTGTTTGAACACTGTCGTACAGTCGGATGAGCTACACCTTATCTCGGCGGGGTTCATACCATTTCTAAATGATAATTTAATTTCCAAAATTAGTCACATTGGAATGGATGTAGCATTCAGTATTTATATTATTCTATTTTATTTATTTAAACACATAAGCATTAGTACAAGGACTCACCAAATAGATATGCGCCACAAAAATCTCTCGATTTGTGTGAGGGCTGGGATACTGCCCAAACAGAAGCCGGTAGTTTTATTATGGGGCCACACCCGGATCCTTCGACCTACAGGTCTAATCCACAAGGCAGTGGAGTATCGTAAGGAGATGCAGTCCCATGATAGCCGGTGATCAACAATAGGTTCATACGCCATTTGTTCCTTCAGGAACCTGGAGTCTATGTGCACCATTGGTTTGGAATCAGGGTTTTCCAACTGCCCTACGTAAGCTCTCCGTGTCCATCAATCCGGTTAAAGCACCGGATATTCGCTTTTCATCCTCTCAATTTCATAAACAACACCCGTGGCGTGAGAAGGCAGTCAGTAGGAATTCTCTGGCAGTGGTTGTATGCACGTATTTCAGTATTCCTTCATGCATACCTTATAATTATACATTTCCGAATTATATTCTCGATGTTCAGTTCTTCTCATCATTATTACTACTATGTTATCTTAATTTCTTCATTGTTCGCCTTGTTAGTCTCATTCCAAAATACTGTTGTGGCATAGCGACGTAAGCCTATGCGCATATTTGCCAGGTCTTATGTTGATTGACTGACCGATACATTTGGTCTATATAGTTGGAGTAGGGTTAGTGAAATAGTATTTTGTGAATCTATCAATATGATAAATAAAAGTAATGTGTTATATTGTTAAATCCGCCTGCAGCTCTTCTAGGGTTACTGCTGATCTCAAGCCCGGGTAAAGGAGCGGGGTTAGGCATAGGGTTAGTAACTCCATCCCGTAGAAAAAAATCTTGCTAGAAAACGTCAACCAGATTAAACAAATTAAACCATTCAAACTCTGCCCTCCATGTTGAAGGAACAATTATGACGCCTCAGGAAGTCACAAGGCCGATGCCACTTCTAATAACCAGAGGAATAATTAATGTACGTACATGGAATGGTCGGACAATGTGGGAGATCGGAACAACCAGTCAAATAGCTGCGAAAATGCAGAGATACAACTTGACGGTAAATCCGTTGGATCCAAGTTGAACAGCAGAAGTTAGATTAAGGAGAGATGCTTTTGTTCTCTGGTCACGAAGATGAAAATGCTCGGCACACTCAGGGAGTTGTTCTGATGCTGTCCGAAGAAGCACGTAATGCACTTGTAGTGTCTTTTATTATGCTAAGCCCATATACCTTATTCTAGCTATTGGACAGCCCATTCTATTCATTCTACTTGAGTCACATTCTAACCTTGTTAATTATTCGCTTATCAATCTTGACTGTGTTTTTATATGAACGCGTAGGTGTGTGTACACTTCTTATCCCATTACTCATCACATGTCTGTAAGTTACTTTTGTGTAACTATGAATATTGATTAACGCTTGGTTAAATGGCAGTAGGCTTACCCGCTATCTTCAATGCCCGTCGTTTCTCTCCTCTGTATTCCATTTACTGCATATACCAAAATATATGTATCCAAAAGTTCATTGTCGTTATTTGACTTATTTAACTCCGTTTTTAACTAAAGCGATTTAAGTCGTTGATTATATACGAGGATAGGCGACATATATATTTCGACAACGATCATTCATGCGATCTACTTGGAGTCAGAACTCGGGCCACTGAAGTGGACAGCCCTTCGAAGAACATCGTCTGATCTAGATGACGGCAAAATACAGGGCCCCACAAAACACTTATAGAATGGGAGTCTCATGGATCCAGAATCACCAAAGCATCCTTCAAAACAAAGAAGAGGGGAATCACAATGAATGTTGTGCACCAACCAATGGTAGCAACAACGACGGTAAAGATCAGTTATATGAGAGGGGCAATCGATCATAGCGAAATGCTCAGGAAAGGACTTGACCGTCCTGATGGAAGTCTTAAACGCCAATGTCGGAATAGACAACACCGGATATGAAGATATCATGGAACGACATGAACTGACTGGGAGAAAGGAACGTGAATGGTGACAGATTTAAAAATTTTGGTGCATTTAACAACATGGTTATAGGCGGCACAATACTCTCACACAAACGCATACATAAAGCTACATGGGCCTCATCGGATCACACTACACAGAACCAGATAGATCGTATTTGCATCAGTAAAATTTCACAAGGTCATTGGGAGTGATGAGAACCAGGAGAGGAGCTGACATAGTTTCAGACCACCGCCTGGTTGTTCCCAATATGAAACTGAAACAGAAGAAGCAGTGGACAACTGGAGAGATGGCATCACAAAAATTCTATTCAGCCTTCTTTTGACCTGTTGACCAAGTCAACCAAATCAAGATAGCTCTGAACATCAGGTTCCAAGCCTTACAGGATCTACTGAAAGAAGAAGAAACAACTATGAAGGACAACTGGAAAGGGATATAACAAGCATTAACTTCAACATGTCAGGAGGTGCCGGGCCGCAAGCATTATCATCATGAGGAATGGACCTCTATCGAGACACTGAACAAGATTGAAGAAAGGAAGAACAAGAAGACAGCAATTAACAACAGCATAACAAGAACAGAGAACGTCAAGGCACAAGCTGAACACACTGAAGTAAACAAAAGTGTCTCGAAGAGCATTAGAGCCGACAAGCAGAAATACGTGGAAGACCTAGCAACGACAATGGAGAAAACTCCAACAGAAGGAAATATCGCCCAATTCTATGATATAACGAAGAAACTGACAGGGAAATATAGTAAATCAGAGAGACCTGTCAAGGACAAGGAAGGCAAGCCAGTCTCTGAGATTCAAGAGCAGAGGAACAGATGGGTAGAATACTTCGAGGAACTCTTGAGTAGACCGGCTCCGTTGAATCCACCGGACATCAAAGCAACACACAGGCCTTCCTCTGAATGTCACTACACCAACAATGAAAGAAATCGGGATGGTCGGTCACCAGACAAATCAAGAGTGGGAAAGCAGCAAAACCTGGCAATATACCAGTTGAAGTGCTGAAGTCAGACATAGAAGTAACTGCAAACATGCTCCACGTTCTATTCAGGA